TGTCAATTAATATTGGCAACTTACAGATAACTAATTTATATTTTATTGTTTATATGAGAACACCTATTAGCCCACAAAACATATCATACTTGGTCTATAACAAGACGATAAGATCGCAAAAATATTAGTAATTGCATTTACATACATTTCCTTCAGTTTCTCTTTAAGAAGTTGTAATTTCAATTCCCTAAAAGGCTTGATTCATAAATCAAGGCCAGACGTGTACGTACTATGCTTGAACTAAGTTTTAATATATTGAAGGACTATACACTCTATACTAGTAGTATACTGAATGACCCTATAATTCTGCGCTCAAGCCTCGTTGGGGTCTAAATTGGCAAGCGGCAAGTATATACATTCGATTTTCCAGTAATAGTTATCCTTTAATAGTTATTATTATTACTTTATATAGTGAAGCTAAGGCTACTACTGTATTAGCTTTTTTTTTAATTTTTTTTATTTTAAGAACTATGTACTGTATTAGCTTAATTATATATTTTACTTCGTATAAGTATAATATTCATGCAAGTTGACCTATTTGTATTAAACAATATGATAACGTACCAAACATTAGTAAACTAATTTGACATTTTCACAATTATCAAAGGCAGCAAACACGGTAGAAACTTATTATTTCCCCAAGTCATGGAAAAGAAACCTCAAGTTTTAGGCACATGGAAACTCTTCTTAGTTGGTTGTTTTTGCGGTGGTCTTATTTCACTCTTGTTCATCGACCAAACCCAACAAAATGCAAGGTTATTAGCAGCTAACAATGCTTTGCAAAAATTAAACCCCTTTTCTAATATTATAGATCAACCAACAACCAGCATATCATCCACCGTGCCTTCAGAAATAACCACTCATTCCGTCGACGCTGATGTTCCACCCCCGATTATTAGCACCATTCTGGAGCCTAATGCCACCACCACCACCTATCCCTCGGAAGTTCTATCCCCGATTATTAGTACCATAATCCAGCTTGATGCCACCACCCATCCCCAAGAAGTTCGGCCTCTCGTTATTAGTCCTATATCCGAGCCAAATGTTACCACCTGTACTCCAGATGTAATATCATCCTCGATTATTAGTCCTATACTCCAGCCTCAAGTAGCTATTCATAGCCCTGAGGTTCCGCCCTCGATTAGTCCCATATCCGAGCCAGATATTACCACCCTTACTCCAGAAGTGACAACCCCGATTATTAGTCCTATACACCACCCTGAAGTATTCATCCATAGCCCTGAAGTATCGCCCTCGATTATTAGTCCGGTAATTGCATCGAATATCACTTTTAATAGCATGGAGAAACCTATAGAAGAAAAGGAAAAAGATTGTGACATATTTGATGGGAGATGGGTTTATGATGCTGATTATAAGCCGAGCTATAATACAATGACTTGTCCATTCGTAGAGGTAGGTGTAAGATGCCAAGAGAACGGAAGGGCAAATTTCGAGTACGAAAAATGGAGATGGGAAGCTAGAGACTGTGAAATACCATTGTATGTATACTTAATTATTTACTGATAGAGTATAAAACTAATCCTGAGGGCCTGACCAAAAAAAAAAGAAAAGTCTAATGTGCACTGTTTTAATTTGACAATTTTGCTAGGTTCAATGGAAGAGATATGTTAGAAAGACTAAGAAACAAGAGAATGATAATAGTTGGAGATTCAATAAACAGAAATATGTGGGAATCCCTTGCTTGCCTTATCTACTCTTCTGTTCCGTCGACTCGAACAGTAGCCAGTACTAATAAAGAAGCTGCACATAGGTTCTTGAAAGCAAAGGTGAATGTTCGAACTATCAAGCTAGATAAAATAGTTTCTATTCTATTTTTCTACAATATTAACCTTTGCTAAGATTGAGTTTTAGTGAGTACTTATTTTTTATGACTTATTTTGCTGGGAATTGAATGGTTGTAGGACTATAACTTTACAGTTGAGTTCTTCATGAGCCCATTTTTAACCGAACTCGATCACAAGCACAAAAGTGGGCGCAAAGTTCTCATTCTTGACAGTATATCACACTTTGCAAAGATGTGGCAAGGTGCCGATATTATGGTATTCAACTCAGGCCACTGGTGGACTCATAATGACAATATAAAAGCGTATGTAATTCTATCGATTTATAATAAACTGCCTTTGCTTTATAATGATGTTAACCTTTAATTAGAATTTTGACAGTATTACAAGTGGTTAATTTGACCTGATTGAGTACACGTAAATCAATTCTGAATTTTAACCACCAATATAAGCTTTTGGTTAACATAAATCTATAATATGACCATGTTAAAAAGAAAAAGTAATAGTCATATGAAATCATATTAGATAGGTCTAAGAATATTACAAAGTACTCCTTTTTGTTTTTTAAATTTCAGCATTTTATTTAAAAATACACTATTATACTATAGTGTTTTATAATCTACGTTACGAAATGTTAAAATATGAATGTTAATACCATTAAGTTAACGTATTACATATATTGTTAAAAACCTATTTCTGAACTATACATTAAGTACTGAGTAATCTACTTACAATTTTATTAGTTATATAATATTGGTAAAAATATTGCAGCTGGGAATTGTTCCAATACAAAGGAGAACTAACAGAAGTAATGCCAAGAGAAATTGCCTTCAAACGAGCCATGAGAACATGGGCGTCATGGATTAAGAAAAACATTGATCCGAAAAAAACTAGCGTGTTCTTCCGAAGTGTTTCGCCTACACATGAAGCTCGAAAATACGATCAATGGTGCTATAATGTGACACAACCTATCAAGGACGATTCCTACGTAATGGGGTTTCCAAAACCTTTGATCGATGTTGTAGAGAATATGATACCACGAATGGGTAAATTACGAATTAAATACTTGAATATTACAAAGCTTTCGGAATATAGAATTGATGCACATCCGTCTATTTATACCAAAAAGGTTAAGGGTAATCTTCCGGGAAGTTCTGATTGTAGTCATTGGTGTCTTCCTGGGTTACCGGATACTTGGAATAGATTATTGTATGCTTCCATTTTAGTTGATACTAATTTGTAACATTTGGCAAGATCTTAGCAATTCTTTAGTGCAATTTTTTCTAAGAAAAATTTGGCAAAAGTCATATATATATATAAGATGTAGCTGCCACATCAATTAAAAAAATCAGTTCTTGTATGTCCTTTGCTTCTTTTATCATTTAACATTTACGGTTTTTTTGGTCAAATTTGAAATTAAATTAATTTATAATCCTCTATTCAAAGATAATTGACATGTTTGAATTTTTTTCACTATTCATACACTAACCTTGATCATAGAGATTTTTGATAACGTATTATAAACAAATTTTATCATAAAATTAAGGCCAAATTTGAAAATAACACCTGTAAAAACACCCAATTTTGATTATAACACCAAAACATTTCGAAATTTTATTATAACACCACTTAAAATCCCAAAATTTTGGTTTCACCCCCCACTAACGGATTTTTGGATGGAAACCGTTAGTGGGACCCACTAGGGACACGTGTCAGTTGTTTATTGGCTTAAAAATAAAAATTAAAAAAATTAATAAAATTAAAATAAAAATTAAAAAAAATAAGAAAAATCTCTAAACTCTAACCCAGCCACCAGCCCCACCACCTTCGACTGTCACTACGCCTCCGGAGACTATAGTACCCTATTTGTACATGAACCACCTAAATATTAACCTTTATAAAAATCAAATCTTGTTTATTAATAACAAGGCTTGGTGGTTGCACCAGTGAAGGAAGAAGGCAAGAAAACAAGAGAGGAAAAGAGGAAGAGGAGGGACGAGAGTATAAGAGAGTGAAGGAGAGAAAAAGAATTCTGATTTTGGTGTGAGAAATTTGTGAAGAATTGAAGGTCTATTTATACTGTTTAGAGGGTGGAAAAGATAAAGCTTAAGGTATGATATGGTTATTAGAAAATATGATAAGTATTGGGGTTTGTTATCGTACTTGAATCAAATTAAGTCTAGATTAATAGTTGGGTGTAGAAGATAAGTAGAAAAATTGGATAAAAAATCATTTGGTTAAAGGATTAGAAGGAAGGAGATAGGAATAAGAGTAAGATAAGAAAGTTTAATATTTAAGTTAAACTAAGATAAAAATCACAAAATAATAATATATATATATATATATATGTTATTTTTTTCCAGATTTTCGGCCAGCTAATGATCTTTTAAAAAATCTGAATTATTATTATTATTTTTTATTAAAAACGAAAATCATATTTAAATGGATAAAATAATGAAATTTGATATTTAAATCAAGTTATTATACAAATATATAAATATTTTAGATAATATCAAAACTAAAATTTGTTGTAAATCATAATGTATATTAGGTATTATCTCTAAAACTCTTTAAATTTCTAATAAAATATGGACTGACCTTTAAAAGATAATTAAACCAATTAATTTAGAAATCCAAAAATAACTAATTATTCAAATGATTAAATGCTTATATTTTGCGCCAAAATTTAAAATTCATTTTGGCTCCAAATTAAATAATTCAAGAAATTATTAAAATATTTTCCCAAAATTCGGGGTATTACACAACGTTTGGTTTAAAGTCCCCAAATCACGAAACCCCATCCCATCTAAAGATTTAGGAAGGCACAATTTCTCCCAACTAACCCAATGGAGTTTTCTTTCCGTTCCCTAAGCACCCCACCAAAATCGAGCTATCATACTATTAATTTTACTAATAAGACCATCCAAAATACGAAACAAACCCATCATGTAGGTCAGTATTGCCGCGCCTAAGCCACCGCTTTGATGAGAACTTCCTTCCCGGCTTGGGAAATCAACTTACCCTTCCACCCTTGCATTGTCTTCCAAATTCTCTCTTTTAGACAAGAAAAGACCACCTTCTTTGATCTTCCAATTATAGTCGGTAGGCCTAGATACTTTTCGTGTCGAGCAACCTGTTTGACACCCAATACCTCAATAATTTCTTGTCTCCTCCCACTCTCCACTTTCTTACTAAAGGTCACCTCAAATTTATCAAAATTGATCTTTTGCCCCGAAGCTCGTTCATAAGTACTAATGATCTCAGCAATCTTTGAGCATTCCTCAGTTGTCTCTCTAGAGGATAAGATACCATCATCTGCGAAAAACCGACGGGAAAGTCTCGGTGCTCCCTACACACCAACACACCAGTAACGAAATTTTCCTTAGTCGCCTTCACAAGAAGAGTAGAAAAGGCTTCAGCACAAAGAAGAAAAAGATACAGGGAGATAGGATCCCCTTGTCGTAGTCCACGAGATGGTACTACCGAGCCCGTAATCTGATTATTCCACTTGAACAAGTATTTTACAGAAGACAAGCATGTCATGATCTGTTGAACCCACCCCTCAACAAAACCCAATCTTTCAACAACGTGCTTCACAAAAGTCCATTCAACGCGATCGTACGCCTTACTCATATCAAGTTTTAGAGTCATCGTACCTGTTTCGGGGTTTTCTGGTGTCCTGCGGGAGAGTTACAATTCCGAGACTGGAACCGGACGCCTATACCTGCAAAACAAACGGATGCTCCGGATGATTGGAGATCCGCCTCCGACGGTCAAGTTAGTACTTGATTAAGGAGTAATTAATGCGGAAATTAAAGTGATTGGGTCTCTCTAGGTGAGAGAGTTTAATGTGTGTAATCTGCGTCCCCCCCCCCTTAATGAGGATTAAGGGAGGTATTTATAACCTCGGGAAACGTGCCAATCTAGGTTTAGGTTAACCTTGGGCTGATTGGGCTGAATCTAGGACTAGGAGTGCCGCCTGCCCTTTTCTGGACCCATCTTCGCCCTTTATACAAAGTCCGACTGTATGTGTGTCTATGCAGAGCATGATGGCCAGAACAAAAAAGACTGCCAGGATCTCAAACTCAGACGGCTCCTCCCACAGGGTGCCGATTAGTGAAACATCTGACCAAGCGCCAGATGTGGAAGTGAAACAAAGCGGCTTGAAAGCCGGCAGTTCTGAGGGAGGAGTCAAAGTGACCCCTTCCCATTTTACAGTTGACAATTCTACATTCTCTCCTTCTCCTTTTAAAGGAGAGGAGGCGGGCCCCTCCGGGAGAGGGGAGGAGTCGTACTCTTCGGACTCGTCAGAGGACGATTCCGAGTCTAGATCTTCTGGCCATGCTTCCCTGGACACAGAAGAAAAAAACAGTCGCCTACAAGAGGCGAGGCTTTCTCACGCAGTTGAGAAGGGGGACGATTGGGCGGAGCCATCCGCCTCTCACCGAGAGCAAAATACCCCCTACTACTGCACGGTACCTCGGGGCTGGATCACAGCCATGCAAGAGAAAGTGGAGAGCTTTATCGCAAACCACACAATGGGCCCCGGCTTTTTAGTGTTCGTGCCGGATCCAGAAGACACAGTCGTCTGGCCGGCTGGTACCAGTTATGATGGCGCCTGCTTTGGATGCTACGAGGCAGCCATCAAGGCTGGGCTGCGCTTCCCACTACATCCGGTTGTTCAGCGGATCTTGGATGGGTATGAGTTGGGGTTATGGCAGTTAGCCCCGAACTCCTGGGTCAACGTACTCGGCTATGTGGTCGGGTGCGAACTGCACGGGGTGGAGCCGAACTTTGAGGCTTTTGCCCACATGAACTACCTCAGCCGGACCCCTAAGGCAGGCGGTACCGCCTGGTATCAATTGACGAGCCACAGGGGCTACCTCATGACGAGAGGTAAAGCAAACAAATGGAAGGACTGGCGGAGCACCTTCCTTATCATTGAGAGTTCAGACACAGAGCTGAACAAGCGCTTCAATAGGTGGAACAGGAATCCGCCCCTTCTTGCAGGCGGCCGCAGCATGCCGCCTGTTCCCCCCGAGGCTAAGAAAGAGATCCTAGATAAAGGACTCTTCAAAGTAGAGTCGAAAGTGAACTCTACTTTAGGGGTACGAGAGCAAGTACCCCTGCACTGCGTCCCGAGCTTCAAATGGCTCTACGACGAGTACTTTTTGGCCGCCTGTGGCCTCAGCAGTCGGTGCTCAAGAGGTAGCCGGCCTGTCGAATACTCTGTTGTTCCGTGCATTTCTTGTTATGACTTTTATTAACTTTGCTATTTGTTTTTGCAGCGGACGCCATGAGCAAAATTACCGCCTCCAAGACTGCGGCGGCCATGTTGCGGGCCTCTATGATGCAACAGTCTTCAACCGACTCCCCCAACAAGGGGGCACCCTTGGTGGGCTTCGAACCTTTCACCCTCTTTATGGAGTTGTTTTTATGCATATACTGACTCTTTTCTTCTTTTTTAGTCGGGCGCTCCAAGAGCTTCTTCTTCCCAACAGCCAGACCCCAAGTCCCGGAGGACGACTGTTGCGAGCTCTCCTGGTTCAACCAGGAAACATGTGGCGCCTGAGAAACAGCCGGCCACTTCTTCTAAAACTCCAGCTGGGCCACCTAGAAGTATGAAATTATCCTAGTAAATTTTAGACTTGCTCCCTTCTTTACTAGGTCTAATCCATTTGTTTATGCTTGATGCAGCAGGCCCTCAGGAGCCTGACTTGGTCGAGGTGGCCAAGTCTATGATCAAGGCCGTTCCTCCAGCTGAAAGGGAGGCGGTCAGGGGTGTCGGCACCCTTGACCTAGACGGGATTGCAGGGGTCCTTGCTGAGGTATACTTAGCATATTTTTGAGTATTTGAATTCCAGGACGCCTGTTTTCTTTTTTGTTTGGAAACTGACGCATGTTCCCCTTTTTACTTAGGCCCTGCTCCGAGTGAACGGCCTTCGCAAGCCGCTTGACCGGAAGAACAAAGAGGTAAAGGCTGCAAAAGCTATGGCCGCCTCTGACTGTGATAAGGAAATGTTTCAAATTGCCCAAAATGAAGTTTTGACCATTGATATTCTTTATTATCAAGCGCAGGCTACCGCCGCTATCCGGGCTCAGTTAGAGGCGGCCCAGAAGAGGAATAGCAAGCTAGAGGCGACCATCAACAACCTCAAGGCCGAGCTGAGACCTCTTCGCCAAAAGATGTCCTCATACGAAACCTTGGAGAAATCCTTGGCGAGCGTAAAGGTACGCCTGGTGACCCAGGAGAAGAGTCTTACTCAGGAGCTCTCGGAAAAGGCCAAGCAAGAAAAGAAAGAGCTGGTCCGGGAGATGATGGAAGACTCTGCTCAAATCCAGCGTATGACTTGGGGCCGCCTCTTCCCCAATGCCGACTATGCCTCATGGGAAAAAACGTACCGCTAGTGTTCTGAAAGATATAATCAAGAGATCCTGGCGGCTGCTGAGGAAGAGGCGTTGGAGGAGGAGGAGCAGCCTGTAGTGGCGCTTGTGCCGCTTGGGGGTAATGCATCAAAGAAGGATGCAACTGAAGCCGAGTCCAGCAAGAAGAGTGATGACCAGGCGGCAGCTGCTAATATTGAAGATCTGCCCCCTTCTTAAGCTTTATGTCTTCTTTACACGGCCTTCGAGCCGTTTGTTTGTATTTACCCGGCCAGGGGGCCGGGGCTCTGAATATTTTGCCGGTCTTTAATGACCGACTTCCTTTTAATGAATATTTTTGTTTTGCTTCAAACTTGTTCAAGTATTGAATATTCTGATATCCAATTGTACACTATACCGACTGTTTTACATGGCCGATAGTTGCAGACAGGTACAAATAGTTAGTCACGCCGCCTATGCCCCTGGACGACTGGTCGTCTGTTTCCAGGCTAGACGATCAGTCGGCCATTTATCCAATCGGTATTTGAACCATTTTAAAGGCTGGATCCCCTTTAGGCAGGCGGTTCTGTCATATAAAATTAACCAAGTAGGAAAGTGGTTTCCTACTTGTCATGTTTTTAGGCTAGAGACTTTAGGCCGTCTAGGCCGACTGTTCCCCGCCATATTTAATCTAGTGTGAACAGGTGCTGTATGAACACCTTTTTAGTTTCATACTAAATTTTTAAGGAGTGACCAAGTAAACATGATTGTTACCTAGTCGCCAAGTAACTGAGTAGTAGAGGTATCAAGCGGTGGGTACCGGTTGTTCCCCTTTATTCGCCAATGTTTGTTGGCTTTTAACTCATAGGTTGTTAACCTAGCAGGAGTAGTGGTTGAGAGCCCCTGTTTGCTAAAAACAGGCGGACGACTCATACCTTTTAGGCTCCATACTAAATTTGAGAGAGTGACTATGAGTTAACTTTGGTGTTACTTAGTCGCCGTCACTCCTGCTTGAGTAGTAAAGGTACCAGGCGGCGGAGGCCAGATGAACCTTTTGATTCGCCAATGTTTGTTGGTTATTAACTCAAGAGTACCCCCTGCATTTATCCCAAGTAATACAGGCGGTCATCTGACTCAGATGTCAACTGCTACCTTTGGTTTGGTTAGTGATAGAGTTATCCTTGTCTCAAAAACGGCTACGTGGTTGCCCTTGGGGACAGTCGTATAGGTGCCGTGTAATTAGTTTATAGAGCAATGTTCCACCCAAAAGGGAGTTGCTCTCTGCGACGAATTTCATCCGGAGGGATGCCGCCGGACGCCTTCTATGATGTTGGGGCAGGTCGTATTAGTTTTGAAGATTGGATCAGTTGGCTTGGCGCCTGGTCTGATCATTCGACCTGTGGCCTTGGTTAGTTCTTGGTGCACGTAGGTGCTAAGTAAAAGGAGGGTAGCCGCCTGTTTAGGCACAGGGTCGGCCAGGCCCTGATCATTTTTAGTAAAGTATAAGGGGGGTGGCTGTGTGTTTGGAACTAGTCGGCCCTCTTCTATGGAGAGTAGCCGACTATATGTCCAGACGGCATGCCCCTATGGTGATAAGTAAGAATAAAAATTGAACATGGAGAGTAGCCGACTGTTTGTCAGCAGGCATGCCCCTCTTAAGTAAGAATAAAAACTATGGAGAGAAGCCGACTGTTTGTTAGTAGGCGTGCCCCTCTTAGTACAAAATTGAATATTAAGTATGCAAACTTTTATTAAGTAGCCCTTGACTATTTACATCATTCAAAAGAAATATTTCTTAAGATTATCTGCATTCCAAGTTCGAGGCAACGGTTGGCCGTTTGGTGTTTCCAGACGGTAGGTACTGTCCCTGACCTCTTCATAGATTCGGTAGGGTCCTTCCCAGTTGGGAGTTAGTTTGCCAGACTCATTAGCCCTTCCAACTGCTTCCATTTTTCTAAGTAAAAAGTCCCCCACTTTGAGTGGACGCCTGTGTACTTTTTTGTTGTATGATCTAGTCATTCTCAGGCGGTAAATTTCATGGCGCAAGACAGCATTTCCCCTCCTTTCAGGAAGTGAGTCTAATGCCAGGCGCATGGCTTCCCAGTTTGCCTCTTCGTCATATAGCATTACTCGAAGAGTCGGCTCGTAGTGTTCTATTGGAAGAACAGCTTCCGCACCATAAGTTAGGAGGAATGGAGTTTCTCCAGTCACCCCTTTTTCAGTCGTCCTAATGGCCCAGAGAACATGTGGTAATTCATTCGCCCATAGGCCGCCTGCTCGTTCAATCT